ACATATTTTCGTTCTGCTCACAGATCATGTTTGATTTCACCATTGTGCATAACATCAACACGTTCTCTGGCATCATGTTCCGCGTTCAGCCATTAGCTGGACGCCGACAGCGGCGTAACGTTGTACTGGCTGCTGGCGGCCGTTACGACAAGCTGGTCAGTCTCTGTCTCTGTCTCTCTGTCTCTCTCTCTCTTTCTTTCTCTCTTGCTCTTTCTCTCTTCCTTCCTTCTTTCCTTTCTTTCTTTCCCTATTTTTGTGGCACTTGTTTAGTGATAGAGTGGTTAATACTTGGCTAGCTGATGGATATTCAGACACTTATGTCAAAGTAAGCAATAGCTGGAAAATCACACGTACATGTGCAAAAAACAAAACAAAAAGCTGGTCCTGCATTTGGATTTGTCGCCTGTATAGCGAACAACAATCTTGTGGCTTGTCCACTGAGAGAAGTTTGCCCAGCATTCAGTTGGCTGAGAGAAAGTTGGAGATGGACAGATAGTGCACGTTTGCGTGATAAAGCTGCTGAAACGATGCGTGATTGTAAGAGAAATTGCGGCTTATATTTATCAATCACATATATTGCAGTGTCAAGCAGCCGGGTTCAGTACCACAATCCACAATCTGCTGACGTAGTCAGATTTAAGGCGGGAGAAGACAATCGAGCGGGAGAATATCAAGCAATAGTCCTGGCCAATATCCGTACTGGAAAGCCTCTTGTAGTGTTGTATTCGCATTGCATTTGGTCTTGTGTTGATGGCGGTGCATGTGGTGTGATTCCTGGCACGGTGGTGTTTCTCTGGTGCAGCTGGTCAGTTTGGCACCTTCATCTCAACAGGTAGCCATGTCTGCTGTTGGTGTCAGCTTGGCTGTGGATCACATTGTCAGTGGTTACAATGAGCGAGAGCGGGAGAAAGATGAGGTATGTTGTGAGGTTTCTATCACCTCAGGTTCGTTACAAGACTACACGTAGGAGCAACGAAAGGCTAATCTTACTCGAGAACATCATGCAAGAAAGAAAAACGAATAATACAGAATGCATCTACTAGAATGAAAATGCAGACACGGAAGAATCTCACACCAAGTCCCGGAAGTGGACTTGAGGTGACGGAAAAGGCTACAGTCTGACATAGTGCATAGTGTAGGGATCAGTTCATAGCTACACTGCATGTACATATGCGCCACAACAGTGCACGGGTGCTGTCAAGTGATCACAGGTGCTGCAAGAGTTCATGTGTACTACAAAAGGTGCTCCTGAGTGCTGCAAATGGTGCAAGGGTGCAAAATCCTACTGTACAACGATGGTGTACAATAAAGCGAATCTAGAATGAACAAGACAGTAAAGGACAAATCCTGCACTATTACATATGTGCACGGCCATAGCCGCTGCAGTCTTTACTCACACGCACGCGTGCACGCACACACGCACACACACACACACACACACACGCACACACACATACACACACGCACACACACACACACACCGACACACACACACACACCGACACACACACACACACACACACACACACCACACACACAGCACACAACACACACGCACAACACATGCATACCTAACCGACAACTGCCAAATTCTCCTGCTATGTGTCTCTCAATGCTTTTTTATTCCCGTAGCTATGCAGAAGACGTTACTTCAGTAACGTCTGGCGCTAGCCAGGGTCCACACAGCTTTAATTTGGTGTTTGTTTGTTTGTTTGTGTCACGCCTGGCGCTATCCCGTATCTGTACCGTACTGTACCGTACCAGCAAAGACAGCTGGCTACTATATGTTTGTTTGTTTGTGCCATCGACATGCCTGGCGCTATCCCCTACCTGTCCCGTACCATCAAGAGTACGGTACCATCAAGAGAATGAGTATATATGCGAAGTGTATCGGGGGAATGCATTCAGTGCAGTAACATTTTGTGTGGATTTGTGTGCGAGGCCGAGAACCCACTAGCAGGCTGGCTGGTCCGCCTGTCGACCAGCCCGGGGATCGCATGTAGGCTGATAGCATAATAATTACAACGTATCAGATTGAGTAATTATAACGTATATACAGTCATGTAGATCTATAGCAGGGAGTCATATTATGTAAACGACTCCCAGCTGTATGGGGAGATTTTCTGAAAAAAAATACGAAGTAGGGAGACGAGTGAATGCAATCAGAAAATCTTACCATACAGCAGGGAGTCATATTATGTAAACGACTCCCTGCTGTATGGGGAGATTTTCTGAAAAAAATACGAAGTAGGGAGACGAGTAAATGCAATCAGAATGGATGTTAGTTGCCGTCAGTATAATAATAAGAAGAAGAAGAACGCCCGTGATCGGCAGAGTCAGCGCCGGTCCCAAAAAACGTCAGGACAGACATCCCGTCGACTCCAGAACGCCCGTGATCGGCAGAGTCAGCGCCGGTCCCATAGCTATGCAGAAGGCGTTACTTGTACTTCAGTATCTCATTGAAACGTTTTTGCAATACAATGATGTAGCTAATCAAAGG